TCCTCTTTCTGGATCTGGTTCCACTGGATCAGTAAGTTCTGTCACAAATAGCGAGCCATCACCGGATTCCAATTCGTTGGCTGCAGCAATTCAAGCAACTCGTCTTAAAAAGAAGCAACAGGTTTGTGTTATCTTGGATTTTTTTTTTTTTTTTAATTCTTATTTTTTCTTTATTCGATCATTTTTATAGGCATCACAGCAACCAGTGGAAAACAGTGGTTCTAGTACTAGTAGCAGTGGAAGTGCTGGAAGCGGAAATTATGGTACTTTAGGAAGAGGTGGAGGTGGCGGTATGGCTTCCATGATGGATGAAATGGCTAAAACTTTAGCCCGTAGACGAGCTGCCGTTGAGAAAAAACAACCTGAACAACCACAAGTAAATTTTTCTCGATAAATTTTATATTTTAATTTTTTATTATCAAGTTATTCTTTTTTTTTTATGTATATATATATATATATATATATATATGTGTGTGTGTGTGTAAATACTATATATATTTAGGAACCTGAGAGTTCACCCGATAAAAAATCATGGGATAAGAATAGTTCATCTAACAATAAATTCTCAAATGGTGCCGAATCACCAAAATCGGTTCGCAAAAGGTTTGGTTCAGCTTCGGAGGATACACTTTTAAAAGTAAATGGTGTCAATGATGGGGCTGTACTCACTGCTCAAGAAATGGAAGCATTTAAAGCAGAGATTATTAAGGAAGTGCGTAAAGAATTTCAAAAGATGAAACAAGAGATTGTAGATGGTAAGAATATGAAGAATGAATTCGAGATGGAAATTTCAAATGATTAAAATTGCTTATGTATTTTCTTGTTTTTTTTATACTCTCAGCTGTCAGAACGGAACTAAGTAGAAGATAAGGATGAGATGCGGACCAGTTTGAACTAAAACGAAGAAAAAATGAAAAATTCTACCATTGCGTAGATCAACCGAAACGATCATCGACAACCGTACACGAATTTTTTTTTACTACGTATTCGCGAAAATGGAATGCAGTTATACCCCATGTATATCAGACATGTTTGTGTGTAAGTACGTTATATCTAATCTAGTGTTTTAAGTGAACCGTACCCTTTCGTTGCTTACTTGAACGAATGGTAAGCAATGTGATTTTTGGATAAAATTGATTCTGATTCTACCAATTCGATGCACACTACATTTTAGCATTCATATTAATCTTCGGTGGTATTGTACGTTTTTTTTATTTATTTTTTTTTTTGTTTTTTTTTATGATTTTTTAAATTAATAACGATTACCATATATACTGTTTTCATAATTTATTCATAATTGAATCGAACAATCTAATGTGATATAACGTAATGCTGATCTCACGCACAATGGAAAACGCTTGCGTTTCTATGTAAATATCACAAAACTCAATTCAGCAAGATATACGTAAAAGGTTATAAAAATATTCCTACTTTAAGACGTATTTAAAATATCGAATTAAAAATATTTGCAATTGAATTTTGTTGCGGTCATAATGCAATTTTATTCTTTTAAGCATTTTTTTTTTTTTTTTATACGTAATATACATTACATCACATATCGATATCACTTGAATTTTTTTTGTACATACCACCACTTCCATGTACAGATTTCATTAATACGCACAGTTCAATACATTCCAAATCAAAGTTTTTCGGTATTGCAAAAGAGGTAGAACAGAATAAAGTGATCATCAACCAACTGCCACACGATTTTCCAGTAAAGTTAGTTCTCGATCTACTCGAGAAATATGTTTCACAATTTCTTTTAATACGAGAATATATCCATTATCCGATCGTTAAAAAATTACGATCGATTTTATATTTACGCATCATTGATCGTTACAAATTCAAAATTCAACATATGACAGGGCGATCATGTTTGCGACCGATATAGTATACTACTCTCCGTTCTTATATTTTTTTATCGTCTCTCGTACGATTCTCACAGAAAATGAGAAAATTAACGTTGCAGTTCATATATATTCTATGTATCTATAATATAACCATACGTACGCTGATTCGCACCAGCTTATTGGCATTTATTGCATTCAAACTGAACAGGATCGGAGAGTGTTAGCAATCAAGAATAAGAAAGAAAGTGGAGAAAGAGAGAGAGAGAGAGAGAGAGAGAGAGAGAGAGAGAGAGAGAGAGAGAGAGAGAGAAAGTGAGAAAGTGAGAGAGAGAGAGAAAGAGCGATAGGAAGAAAGTGTGTGAAAGAAAGAAAAGTAAGAGAGAAATGAAGAGAAAAAGAAAAAAAGAGTAAGTTCATATCCATTCCTCGTAGTATTCATTTATTTCGTAACGCGCTAAAATCAATATCATTCGATGTATGATATGATTCGATATGATATGACGTCATGATGTAAAATTAAATGACGTGTAAAATCGATGATAAATATCGATGATTCATTATATTAACATTATCTATCTTATTTTTCTTTTTTTCTTTTTCTTTGCTTCATAAGACGGATTTATGACGACTGATTATTAAATTAACGCATTAATTAAGAGCGCAACGATAATGTTAAGTATTATCAACTAAATTTTTTATTTCAATTTCTAGTCGTATAAGAAAAATAATAATGAAAAGTATAATCGCTAACACTAATATCCACTATTTCAATATTTCGTGAGATAAGGTTATAAGAGATAATCTCAATGCGATTTGAATCTTTAAGAATTATGATATTTGCGCGTTTTTTCACAAATATTATCTATAAAAATGATTCGTTTTAATTTCATTTTTTTTTTCCTTCGTATCGCGCAATCGTATCTTAAAATTGTAATTACATATTAAATTTTTGTCTTAAGGTCGGATAAGAAAAAAAAAAAAACTAGTATCTAATCTTTTTTAATGCTCGCATAATCTTGACTTAAGACGTTTCGTTCACAAAGTATCGATACAACCGACTGAACTGAATAAAATAATGCTCTCGTTGTTACGATAAATACATATATATTCTTGGCAAATTTTTTTTTTTTTTTTTTTTTTTTTTTTTTGCCACTCGATGCATTTCATATTGAAACAATATATTCCGTTCTGTCTTATCGCATTCCACTATCACTGTACGACTTTCGAAAGTTTTATGCTTATCGACTGTTTATATTTTGCTACTTGATTTCATTTCCATATTAACTTTTAAGGCTTTCCACGGTAATGAATAATCTTGCGATCGCGTTGCGTCGTCTTTTAAAAATAACGATTCGACGAAAACTCTTGTTTAAACAATTTACAAGGCTAAATTTTAATAAACGATCGAACCAACAGGTGGAACAGGTATGCATGCGTGTAAGAATAATATAACGTTGAGTGTTTGTGTGCATATATGTTTGCGCGCGCGCGTGCTTGTGTGTGATTAAAAATGTGAACGTGAATGTTGGACGGTGGGTGTTGCGTGTAAAGAAGAGAAAAGGGGAAAAGTTTGGGCGCGGCAATGGTAAACGTTCGATGAATATAAGGTGAAAAAGTGAATCGCACGGGGTACGAGAAAAGTACGACTAGTGTTAGATGCATTTATATTATATTTAACATATGTATATTTATATATACATATATCATACATGGATAATTTTAATAATGACAGGATTAACGTGCGAGCATAAAGAGTGTTTTGTTACGATTGAAATTATTTAAGGAGCGTAAGAGATAGCATGGCGATAACGGATCGACATTGCTTTTTACCGATACCGATGAATGGAGTCGTCGGAATCGGGGCCAAGTCGGGAGATATACCGTGTCCAGGGCCATTATAAACGATCTGTATTATAATTAATGTATCAGCAGCAAGCAAAATACACGTATGATATGAAAAATAACGAGTGAAATACTATTTTATGTATTACGTGCGACGTAACGGCAACGAGAGGTCGAAAAAGGCATTGTTTATTTTAAACGCTCCCCTCTTTATATCCGTTGTTCGATAATTTGCTCGCCGATTTATTATTTTCTTAATCCGAAATATACCGATACCGATCGATATTTCAACGTGTGCATACGTACACAATGTTGCGCGCGTATGTACAATATCTTGACTCGCATTAACTTCTTAATCGTCGATCGTCGAGTCTCGTCGCCGTTTCCCGTCGTTGTTTATAATATAAATATACGTATACATATGTCGACGATGCAAATTAAAAGGATAAAATCATTTGAAAACAATGTGGCAATCACGAACATTATTCCTGATAAACATTATATAAAAAACATTATATAAAAAACGATAGGCTGAAAAAACATAGCGATGATGATTTAGCAACGTTTACGCGTTTTCGATTATACTATGCATTCAGAAACGTTCGCACTCCCCCCCTCCCCCCATCCGCCCCTTGTGTCGTTTAGCAACAAGAAACATCGATGATATCGACCCTTAGAGAAGAAATGTTCTTACTTCATCAAGTGGAATTGCAACTACAACGACAACGACGGAACGTATCCTAGACTCATCGAAGAGAGAAGGCTCGACGAGGCCACGTAGCGTATTCTCTATTAGCGTTTAAAAAGCGATCGCGCGCGCGCGAAGGAAAATTTATACGAAATACAATTAGCAGCGTTAATACGAAAGTTTGAAGAATCGATGCCGAACACGCACTGTTTCTTAAAACGTATCTTGAAAATATTTGTATGTAAATGAATGACGAAATAATAAAAAGTATACGCTCAATCTATTCTTTAGAGTGAACTTTCCTTTCTCGAGCGAGATTAACGAGAAAAAAAAAAAAAAAGAAAAAAAAGAATTGTTTTCGTTCAATTACATATAGATCGCAATGCATCTTTTGCGAATACGATTCGTAACCCGATTTCTACGAACCGTGAAACTTCCTCATTTATCATCGTCGTCCTGATCAGTGAGAAAAATCGAGACTCGAGACTCAAACGTTCTCAAGAAATCCATTCGTATTTCGCATTGCATGCGGATCTCCACTACTACTTGCTGATTTTCGATCCATTTACCATTATAGCAACGATGCGTCACTGGCTCGTAATATGACGTAAGAGAAGGGCGGTAGGGAGGTTTGGCATCGATGGGAGAAAGATAAGCCATACGGAGCCGAGGGCTGGTTGAGAAGGGATCGAGAGAAGGGGAAAGAACGAATGACGCATCGTAAGAGGCAGGATAGCGCGGAGGATATCTAGCATGGCCGATCGCGGTCACGGCGTTTCCGTTCCACGATTAGATGTTTACACGTAGGTAGAAACGACTTGCTCGTTAATCGTGTGCGCGCCATGGGTGCGACCATGGGTGTTTCACGGTTCGTTGCGAATCGATAACGCGTAAAGAGTATCGAGTGAGCGCGACGCGGCGTCTCGATCGATCTATGTAGTAGTAGCAGTAGTAATAGTAGTAATACTAGTGGTAGTAATAGTAATGTAGTAGTAGTAGGAACGTAGCCGTTCGCCGTATCATTGCCCGACGCGGCGTCGGTGAATCGTCGAAGGAGATCGCCTGGCGCCGGTTATATCGTGCGTTCTCTCGCTAGTTCGATCGCGTTGTGCCGCGCGTACTTCACTTGGACGCTCGGCGGCGTAACGCGACGACGGAAGTTAAGAAAAACGCGGCAAACGAGCGTGGAAGTGACTTGGAACTGGTCAGGCGGGAAAAACCAGGTCACTCGTCGTTGGTATCGCGTGGTATCGGTGACTGGAGGAGACGAAAGAAACGAAAGTCGTAAAGGTAAATGCGGCAAATGCCGTTGACGCGCTTGCGCCTCACGGAGCACGGACGACCACGCGTTGCGACAACAGAGGAGCGGAAAGGGAGAGAGAGAGAGAGAGACACGCGGCGCAGTGTGAGATTTTTGGAGGCGACGCGAGGTGGGCTGTGAGGGAGTTGCGACGAAGTTGCCGGCGAATAAACGAGAGAGTAAAGAGATGCGATAATTGACTGCGAGTAAAACGAATGAAAAAGAGATGCTTCGTGTGTGTACGGCATCGTGTAAAGTATCTCGCGAGCCGGATCCTAGGTTAAACGTAGCGCTACGGTGTGCGGTAGCTTTGATCGATTTGTTGTTTGGTGCATAATAACACGTGATCGTCGAAAACGAAGAAGAAATTGAAGCTGGTGTAGGAAGGAAATGCGAATTGGTGCCGGTTGTCTTCGTTCGCTCGTCGGATCGATGGGAAGTCGGTGATACAAAGTGGTGAATTCCCTCGTTAGTTTTGCAACCCAGTTCATCCGATTCGTTTCGTAATACACATTCTTCGGAGTAGAAGGAATACGAGTTGGGAGATTGGGAATCGGTTGATGAATCACTATTGATAATTTCACGTGAGAATCGTGACCAATATTTGGCACGTTGAAACGTGAATGGATTGACGTACCGCGTGTTTCGCATCACTCTTGAAGATTGAACGTTTATTAATAAAATAGGTTATTTTTTACCTGCGCTGAAAAACATTACAGGGAGACGAGACAATCGATTTTTTTTAATCTTCGCTTTGCTCGGATCCGTTGCACGACGCGAAAAAATGATTTTTCATTTTTATGCGAAAGATTAGAGATTCGTAAAAATCGAAGATTTATCGATTATTAGAGATTCGAGTGAACGAGATTGAATAGACGAAGGAGATCGCGCGTTCGTTAGATTTGCTCGATCAGTGATCGAGTAACACGCGTTCGACCGTGTCTCGGATGGTCGACTGATAGCTACCACGAAAGCTGCCACAAATAAAACATGATGCGATACGAGAATTGCGAGTGATGACGCATTCAAAGACACCGCGCCTGTAAGGAAACTCGACCATTGACCGAACACGAAAACAACACTGATAAATTTTCATGCCTTGTATCTTATTTTTTATGCTCGCGATCATTTTTCTTTTTTCTTTTCTTTCTTATTCCACCCAAGTATGAAATCATTCTTTTGAAATATACTCAACGTTTACTCTCGTCGATCGAAGATTAATTGCATTGCTCGATCGACGAACAATAATTTCGATCCATAAACGAGAGCATCAATACAGACGTACTCTCTCGATAGTTTTGATCCACGTGCGTTTGTCGACCGGTCGACGGTTATTTCTTTTTCAGCGCGAGGAGGCAGGAATCAAACGCGTTTATGGGTTAGTTAAGTGGAATAATTACGATTACGGTCACGATCACAGTCACCACATTCATCAACACAGTGATATCATCACAGTTTTATCCAAGATATGAATCGTCGAAGTAACGAAGAATAGGGATCGAATCGAAATTTATCTTCTAAAGAAAGAATCGTTGGTCGATGATTATTCCACGATCGTTTCCTTGCAACGGTGCGAATCGTCGATAGATTTGGAAAAAAAGGGAGATTTATCTGCATCGAGGAGGAAGACTGCAGGAGGAGAGACGGAAGTGAAAAGAAAAGGTAGCGAGATTGGGAAAAGCAAAATCAAAAGGGGAAGATCGACGTCGGTAATGAGACAGGGAAAGGAAAACTGTTGAGAGGCGGTCGCGAGACAGGGGCAGTGCCGTATCCTGGGGGCCCAGGGTATGCGCAAGATCTATTAATAACTTGTAATACGGTGGTAGTGGGGCGCTGTCCGCTAGCGGGTGAAAATAGAAAAGAATGTTTTTGGAATCCAATTGGACTTGGTTGGCCGAACGATGGGGCAATATGGCCGACTTGGCCGAGCGGGTGGACGATCTGATATGCAGTTTCGACTCGGCTGGTGACACGACCATGGATACCTTATCGATGCTCATATTCGGCTGGATGTTGTTCGGATTGATGGTACTGTGTGTCGGCAAATACGTTTACAATCGGTTCGTTTTAAACGGGCTCAGTTCTGGGACAATAGTTACCGCCAAGGACGGCCATATCGTCCACGGTGATAGCGTCGGTGTCAGTGGTGGTGGTGCTGGTGGTGGTGGTGCTGGTGCTGGTGGTGGTGGTACTGGTGGTGGTGGAGGTGGTGGCGGTAGTGGCGGCAAATTGCTTTTGCTTGGCAAGCAAAAAATCGTTTCGGGGACCGGGGCAGGTGGTGGCGGCGCCGGTTCCGGATCGCTCGCATCCGTTGCTCATCCGGCCGGTGGTGGTGCCGCCAGTCCAACTTCCGGCACCTCGCCTTACGTCCCGCCGACACCTCCTGTCCGCAAACGTCTCACGAGGAAGACATCCGGCGCTTTGATCAGCCCGGCGAGGAGTAGCAAAAGTTTGCATCTGCCGACGGCAACCGGTGCCGATCCCGATGCTGTCCGCTGGGTTAACGAGGTTATCGTTTGGCTCTACTCGGATCCAGCGATTTTGGACGAGCTGTTGGCCTTTTGGGTCGCGTCTCTCAATCAATTTACCGCAAACTCTGTCGACGAGGTGAGAGAGAAACCTGATCTCTACGATGTGTAATATGTAAAATAATAACAATATTTTCTTACGTTGAAACGATGGTCGAATCGAAAAAAAGAAAAAAAAAAAAAACAAATCAGAATTTAATTCGCAATGAACTTTGTTCGATCGACAAAGTGTTCGTCGCGTGCTGTGTAAGACGACAACCGGCTAGACTACGCAATCTTCTCGCGTAGGTGTTTCTTGAGCAACGAAAACACCGGCTCAACGCGTTTACGAGTTATTGTCGGACAATTTTACCGACGAGGTCCTAGGAATCAGCTTTTAAGTTTAGTCAAATTATACACGAACTTATAGTTGGCTCACTTATTATAAATTCCTACACTGAGCGAAACGTTTTGTTTCAGCTAAGAAAAAAAAAAAAAATTAACTAACTCTTCCTTTCCTTTTCTTTTTCGAAAAAAATTTCCACGAAAAAAATTTCATTCTCTTTACTCTGCGCTCTTCTCCTTATTTGCAGCACGGAGTCGGGGTCGAATTCGTTCGAGTTTTACCTGAAACCCATCCACCGAATCTCTCCAACATTTTTTGCGAATGCGACTCGAAGGACGACGTGGTACGTATTCGAAGGATCGACCCACCTCTCGATCCGTCATCTCGCCGACACATTCTCGAATCTGTTTCGTTTCAGACGATCACGTGCGATTGCGAAGCCACTCCAGCCTTACAGTTAAAAGCATTCCGCCGGAAAGCTGAGAAACTCGAAGTAAGTCACTATCGAGTGAACGTGAACCGTTTCCGCGCCCGATTGAACGTCATCTGTATCACAGAGAAGCTTCTCCTCGATTTGAAATGCGACGGCTGGCCGGACGTTAGTATTTTTCGCTCTTAATTTTTGCCTCTCCCCCTCCCCTTGAGAAAAAAATTCTCCCTCGTACCAAATTTCGCAAATTTTATTTTTTATTTCGCCAATTTTACGTTATTAGGTGAAAGTTTCATTGGCCCAAGTGGGCACGATAAAGAAAGATCTGGACGAGAGCCAGTTGCAGGAGGTCGTAACGGAAATCGTGATAGGAGCGTTAAGGGGGATCAATGTCCATCTGAATTTGTTCCAATATCCGAGCTGTCCACGGTTATGGAGGGAACCGGCGACCACCCAGCCAAGCTTCTCGATCCCTATGCACTACGACAACGTGGTGAGCGAATTCATATTCACGATCTCACTCGCTCAATTTTCATTGAGAAATTCTTTAATTATTAATATTCGTTTTCTTCTTCGCAGCATACGTCGAGCAGCTCGCTTCAAAGCTCGCGGCAACGGCTTCAGACACAGAGCCCGACCCTGTCTCAAAACCAGTACGTGGTCAGCGACAGGCGGTTGCTCGTCAAAGTGGCGAGAGCCGCGGAATTGGGCGGAGAGAAAGGCGCCGTGGAACCGTATTGCGTCGTCGAATTGGACGAGCCTCCTCAAAAGAATCAAACGTCCGTGAAGAAGGACACTAGAAACCCGTCGTGGGACGAAGCGTTCTTATTGTGAGATTCTTATTTAGAGAACCCGTCTCGATCCACGGCGTGTTTTAATCGTTCGCAATTAATGTTTTCCAGCGATGTTAATCGGAACACGTCGGAAGTATTGTTGGAAGTTTACGATCGCGCGAATAAATCGCAACGATTCTTAGGCCTGGGAATCGTGGGGATCGACGAGCTTCTCGCGAATCCGAGTCAAAGGCAGATAATACCTCTTCAAAATCGGCCCTACGAGGAAGAAGATATTACCGGCACCCTGACCGTTGAGGTAAGTAATATACAGAGCATAGAAACGACGATGAGTGAACGTTTAAACGTTTAAACGTTTAAAAAAAAAAAAAAAAAAAAAAAGAAATGTTCAATTTTGCTACGCCATTGTTTTTCCTTTTCTCTTTCGCGTCGTTTCATTCGTTTCTTCCTCTTTCGTTCTTCTTCTCTCCTCCTTTCTTTTCTTTCTTTCTTTCTCTCTCTCTCTCTCTCTCTCTCTTTTCTCAGTTTCTATTCATCGAGGGTGCGGAGGTGCCTCAAATTGGGAACAAACCTTACAAGGTGAAGGAGACGATAAAGCCGGTGTCACCGACTCCTCGTACCTACACCCCGACAAATCTCATCAGCGACAATAATCTAAATTACAACAATGGTAACAGCACACTTATCTTGTACGACTCTACCGTTCAACCCGAAGGGGGTAATTACTTATTACTTTATCTGAAAGGCATTGCATTCGTGTTCACAAGTGTGAAATATACGTAGCGATACCTCGTTAGTATTACGTATTTCCTTCTCTTCACGCGTTTTTTCTCGCGTGGCCCTCACAACGTGGAAGCCATTTTTATTGTTGTTTTTTTTTTTTAACAATAGTAGATCCCCTTTTTCTTTTTCTCACGTAGAAGAAAAAGCACGTAGAAGAGCGTAGATTATATCGATCGTGTAAAATTTCCAACTTCCAAGTTTTTTTTTTTTTTTTTTTTTTTTTTTTCCGAAGAAATTTGGTTTCTTCTTTCTTCACGGTGCTCTCCGCTATCACGTAGTGCAATTCGCATGATATATGCAAACATATGTAAAAATTCTTTGCCTCTTCCACCCCCTCCCTCCCTCCCCCTTTTTTTATTTCCACTCCGTTCTTAGGTAACGATTGGCTTTAACGATTCCCCCTGCCCCCCCCCTAGCACGATATGATGCGATTTTACGCTCACCTCTACGGACGAATTCGACAAATTCTTCAAAGTTATTTCGACTACCAGAGAAACGAGCCTGGCAGATCGTAATGACAGCAATACGCAACGCTTGCATAATCGCACGGTCGCGTTTGCCAGACGCGGAAAATTATCTGGTAGACGAAATGATGGATGCTTGGTAGAACGTTGGACGTAGAAAGTCGATGAATCTTATTAAATTATAAATATATATATATATATATATTTTTTTTTCTCTTCATTAATCGAAAGGAGGAGAGAAAAATTTTTAAAAGAACGATCGATCGTAATTCGCAGATTACCTAACGAACGGGAACGTGGTGGACTCGCCTTACAGAACCGGTCAAAGCAACGGGAATAAAGGAACGCTGATAGTGCACAGCCAGCAAAGGGTAAATAAATACACGCACGCATTTCCATATAAATTATGTATACAAATTTTTTCTTCACGTATTACTACTAACACTGTATTTTGATTATTGTCTATTTTTTTTTTGTGGTGTCTTCTTTTTTTTTTTTTTTTTTNTTTTTTTTTTTTTTTTGCAGCAGCCAGAGCGGCAGATAGTTAAGGTAAGCTTGACGTCGTGTCGTCCCACACATACACACACACACGCACACGTATCGTGTCATCGACGTGATCTCGCCGATTTCGGATCGAAAACTCGTGTCGCATCACTCGATGTCTTTCCAATCCTTCCTTCTTCTTATTATTATTACACACGTTGTTGTTTCTAATTTGCGATTCCAGTAAAATGAAAAATCGCGTAGTATTTTTTTTTTTCTTTTTTTTTTCTTTCTTCCCTTTCGCGATCTTTTCTCGAGAAACTTCCTTTCATTTTATCGCACATTTTCCTTGCCGCATTTACGAGCCGTATGGAAATCAAGCAATGCCTTGCGTTTTACGAGAACACTAATTATCGTCAGTTGAGTGGCGTGTTGTTTACTAATTTCACAGGTCGCCCTAACGGAAAGTGGGAACTGGCAAGAGATCTCTCCGGAGGTAATTATTCTCCTTGTTACGAGATATTTGTTTTTTTTTTCCCCCTCCCCCTTCCTTTATCCTTACGTTGTTTTTGTTAATAATTTCTTATTATTGAACTTATTATTTACTTCTCGTAAATAATGGGAATGAAGAGCGTATGATATACTATACAATTGCCTGTTTGCAATATTGCAATAATAGTTGCAATATTTCAATTATTAAATTTCTACGAGATCTAATTATACGCCCTTCTTCTAAACATTCAATTGAAGCTAGTTATATTCGATTCGAAAACAAAATCTTTTTTAAAGAAAACTCTGTAACCGATGCTTGCAAACCATAACCTTAACTACCTGTGTATAAACAATTTAACAACTTCCTTCGTTTCAGCATGGACCAAAAGATACAAGCGTGACGTCGGGACCGGAAAGCACACCGAATTCTTCCAATTCCGAAGGTAATTTTACCGCATGATTTTCTTCTTTCTTTTTTACCACGTGTACGAAACGTATAGGAATCTTGGTATACGAGTCGTGAACCATCGCGTGTCATTTTTTAATTATTGTAGAGAGGGGAAGAACGAGAAGAAAACGTCGAGATTTCTTTGGCACGATAAAGAAACGGCTGAGTCGATCGAAGACGAGAAGCAGATCGGTTGGACCGGAAGGCGATGCGAATCACGAGGATCCACACTCCAGATCTATATCCGCGGACAGGGCTCGCGATCCTGGCTCGGGTACGTTTGCCCATCCAATCTTTAAACTTCGCGAAATCTATTCTCTTCTTGATTCGGTTAGCCGCCTTTCTCCCCCCTCTCCCAATATGTAGTTCAAATAGTTAAAATCGTTCAAGCGTGAAATTCTACTTTGTTGTTGTTGTTTGTTTTGCGCACGAATTCATCCAACGATGCACGATGGTCGGTGAGTACGAGATGACAAACGACGATGCGATGCAATAGAGAGCGTATTTTAAGGAGGCTTGGCAAATGGAAAACCCTGCTCGATCGAGGAATCGCGAAAAAAAAATCATTGCGATGCTAATAACCGCTGCCAATGCAAATTTCCTCTCTGCCAATAACGCTACTACCACGCTAGACTAACTTTACGAGGTGCAAACGACCGTTTCGCTTGAATTTTATAGCTCGTTTATCGATACCAGGGAGGGAGGAACAATCGAGAAGATCGAGTTTGAGCGAGGCATCCGGTATAAGCGGGGCGTCGACCAAAACTTACATTAACGAGGCTTCTACATTGGTCCTCGAAACGCTCGAGAACGGTATCAAAAAGTAAACAACAAGTAACATTTTTATCTACATCACGCATCATTTAACGCGTTATTCGAAGCGGCGACGTATGTTTTGATGCGCGTTATTTTTTGCTTTTTCAGGCATTACCTAGTACCGTTGTCGCTCGCACAAAAAAGTAAATGGCGAAAGAAGGGCACAAAGCTTCATATATTTAACGATCACACTTTTATAGCGAAACACATGGCTGGGTAAGTATTGAGTATCGGGCAATTGCAATGCGAGTGGAACCAAGTGTGGAAAGTGACGCGAAATGTTTCGTTTTAGAGGGACAGTGTGCGAAGTGTGCAAGAGAACGCTTGCGCGAAGATTAGGCAAACAGGGTTACGAGTGTAGAGACTGTCAAATGAAGTGTCACAAGCATTGCCATGTCAAGGTAGAAACTACGTGTCCCACGTCTACGATTCAAAGCATCGAATTGTAAGTAGACGGAGTATCGCTATTTTAACGAAATACATATATTACGTTAGATTTTTGATCGAATCGTTGATTCTGAAAGAAAAAATTATTAAAAAAAAGGAATAATCCGCGGAATTACGAGCTAATATTATCTTTTTTTTTTTTAAAATCTGATTATCACGTAAGGTCTCTTCTGCCAGTACTCAGTGAATAGAACGGGTAAGTTCTCTAAAAAACAAGGAAATTATTGGTACTCTCATATCATAGTCATATAGTTGCGCATGAAGAATCAATTTTGCTGCTCTCTTTTTTTTTCTAAACAATCGCAATGACGAGTGTTAATTCTTTTTTTTTTTTTAGTTTCGAACGGTTTAATCGTAATGTTTTGCAACAATTGTAAAACGCACGTGCTTCGTTCAGCCTTTCCCTCGTACGTTTTATAAATACTAATCGTTTGCGGTGTTCGTATACGTATGCGTAAAAATAAAGAACAACGCTTCGTTCATATTTTTTTATACATTTCTTTTGCCCCTAATAAATAATTCGTTTGCCTTATTTACGATAGGTGCTTTTTTTTTATTTACAACAGATACTTAAACCTTCAAAATTGTTTCAACTTCAATTAAAAAACTATTTTTGCTTTCTTTTGTTCGCCTTTTCATTTTATCAATTTTAAACGATAGCGGCCTAAAAAATCACTTTAGCAGCTAATATTTATTGCAATTCACAATGATAATTATTGTAAATTATCTAGATAGATACGATAGATTATATACGATCGGAGGATTAAACAGAAATTTTGGATTGTTTTTTTAGAACATGCATAAAAGTTCCACGGGCTGAGCGCAGATCGACGAATCGGTTGTGCTGATCAACACTTGAACGAATGCCTTCGAATAAATTAAAACGTTTCATCCTACTTGGGGACTAATGTCGAAGAAATTTCCTTTGTTGAAATTATCTTTCGAATCGCTTCGTACGTAGCCGTATATATCCGCGAGAGGGAAACACGCTACATACAAATTGATATTTACACGACATTGTAGACAATCTTGAGCAAAGCAAAGCCGCGAGCTTTTGTTTAACGATAGGCGTTAAGATTTGCACGAAGCGGCTTTGAACGCCGTAGCACCGTTCCGTTATTCGCTATTCTTATTATCACGCCTTTTAATCTATACACGAAATTAATAATACACGAACACGTGAACACGTGAAAACGAAGAAGCGAACGAAACGAAACGATATAAAAAAAAAAAAAAAAAAATTAAACGAAACGAAAAAGAAGTGGTAAATAAACTTTCTTCTAGAAGCAGCATGTTCTTCGATTCGAAATAGATAATAATCATATATGAAAGAAATATGAAATAGATGAAATGTTCGCGACCAATGATAAAAGTATCTATACTATTTACTATTTATTCTTAATAATAGTTCCCTTTCGAATTTTCACGAAACTTTTTACACTTAAAAGAACGTCCGATTTTTTCTATTGACTTGTATAATCTTAAGCCTTGAACAATTATATCGTATCGCTCTTTTTCCTTCGTTATCTCTCTCTCTCTCTCTCTCTCTCTCTCTCTCTCTCTCTCTATCTATCTATCTATCTATCTATCTATCTATCTATCTATCTATCTCTCTCGTCTGGAACATAGGAAGGAATTTTTATTTAAGGATATGATGACCGTGATAAAAATTGTGGAAATTGATGAAGAAAGAAAACTCGTGAACGATAGTGCCTCTAGATACGAAAGTTCGTTGTTATCTTTGAAATATTGTAAAATCTTTATATCCGGGAGAAATAATACTCTTGACAATATTTTCGATCGCTGTTCGATAAATTCGATCGATCAATCAAACTTGAACGCTTCAACGCGCACATTTGTGCCTATGTATCGTGCGAAAGGAAAGCAATCGTAATATTCGCGTTACCAGTTGAAATAAAATATTATTATAATCATGATTATTACGATTGACAATTAAGATTCTGATAATTATTATCTTTTATTGCTATTATTACTATTACTACTATTATTATTATTATTATTATTATTATTATTATTATTGTTATTATTATTATCGTTATCGTTACTAGAATCATTGCCGCGATTTCATATATTATCAGCGCTAAATATATAGAAGATCGCGAGCGATTTATTTATAACACGAACGAACAAAGAAAATTCGCACAATTATTGTAACGAAGATGATAATGATAATAATACTGTGTTACGTTGAAAGAAATAATATACATTATAATTCTACACGATTGGAGCGCCTTTTTTACTTCTTCACCCTTTCTTCTTCATTCCATTCTCTCGTATCCAAATGTCTGTGAACTCTGAGAAGATCGATCTCACCATCTATCTATATAGAGAAGAAATATTTAAGGAAACTAGCGTAATTGTTTATTTTTAACGAAACGAGATTTCTCGCGGAGATATTTTTTTTTCCCCAAAGCGTTTTTTAAAAACGTTTATACGTTCATACTCGACGAGTGAAATGGCGAGATATTCGACGGTCATCGTCCAGATTCGGTGGAAAACCGAGGCTCGAGAAGTAGGAATAACCGCCGACCTAATTCGAGGTCGAAGCTCCAATTTTTACGGAGTTTGGGGAGGGGGGAGCAGGGGGCGAGCGTAGCCATGACAACGTGACGTAATATCCACGTCATCGACAAAGCGCAACGACCCGGCCGTACGTTTCTCGCGCCTCGGCTAAATGATCGGTGGCTGAATGGGGGGTGGTGGTGCGGTTGGGGAGCGTAGCTGCGAATTTTCGATTCGTCCTCGTTCCGATCGATCCGTTTCTTTTTTTCTTTTCCTTTCTTTTTTCTTTCTTTCTCTCGTTCAACGACGAATCTTCTTTCCACTAGTGGAAAAATTCTTCTCCGGTATATCCGGAGAAGAAAGAGGTGGAAAGAGGACGCATTAGACATACACGCGGTGTACACGCGTATAATTAACGCGTACAATGCACACGTGCTACAAACACGGAACAACGTACGAGATGAATCGTCGTCTAACGAATGGCGCGTATACGGAGGATGCGGCTTCGATGCCGAGGTTTATTGAATCGCGAGCGGGAAATTGGGACGCGTTGTCGGCGGCCTTCTCAATGACGTCGGTGACGTCACTAATTTGGAAGGGAAACTGGGACAAACGGAGCGGAGAAAAAGGAAACTGCAACGATCGTCTACCCTCCGACGTCTCTCGCCGTCTATCTACCCGTTTCCAATTTTTCTCTCTTTTCCGCGACTGTCGAGTTCCGGTCGACGTTCGTCCCTTCTGATCACGCGCTTGAAGAAAAGAAAAGAAAGAAAAGAGAGAGAGAAAAAAAGAAAAGGAAGAGAGATGCGCGTGAAACGAGTATCGCCAAGGTATCGTGGCAAGATAACGCGATCCTTGAATGAACTATGGTATTTTGTAGGGATGACACTAGAACCGATGGATCTGGATCAAACAAGGGTCGTGAATGGCGTCGCTTGCTCGATGACGTCACGGGGTGCAAACCCCTGCAACTGGGTCACTCGTTGATTCTGTCATGGCCGTAAGCTATAAACGGACCACGGTCGTCCTTCCACGTTTTCCACGCCTTTTCGCGTGAAAACGTGTTCCGGCAACGAGCACGTTGCACGCGGGGCAACCTCTGGCCTCACGATTTCCTTTCCCTCCCATTCTCCGGATCCGCGACCGGAAATCATGCCTCCTTGCTCGTCGAAGCGAGCTCGCTCGAATCGTCAGTTATCGGGTTATTCATTTTTCAAGAAGAGGAGGGAAGAACGAATTAACCGTGGCGAGGGAATAAGATAGAAAGGGAAATGGAAATAAGGAGGAAGAGGAGAGGGAAAGAATAACATTTTCGTTTGAATGAAAAACGTTTATTTGAAACATAAACTACAAATAGTATCGACATAGGTAATACTTAATATAAAACATTCAGTCCTGAGATTATGCATATTTCTCTTTATGCATCCTTTTTTTTTTTTTTTAAATCATTCTCGCACGTTTCTCCCCGGTTTTCGTGTTTCTTTTTTTTTTTTTTTGTTTTCTTCTTTTATTTTTGGCGCGAGGATCGATCGCGCATATTCGAATTCGTTAGGCATATATTACTATATCGTCCCTTCCCTACCCCTGCCCCGGTATCATTTTATCTCTCCCAACATTGTGCCGATTTGTTTTCGCGATATATCCGTGTAATACACGCGATAGATATTTACAAGGCACTGAATGATCGCGTATACATGCGCGTTCGTCGATCGTCACGTTGAATGAGAATTTTCGATGGAGAAAGTTTCGAAAAGAAAAGATTTTTCCTTCCTTCGGTCCACGCTTTTCCTCGCTCTTCGTTTTCGATTCGGTCGCAACCGGTCGATGACGGTGAAGAAAACGAGGTCGAACGCTGGCTATCTGTTCCTTTTTTTCTTTTCCTTTTTTTTTTTTTTCGCCACGCGGCTAACGAAACACCAGATCTTGCGAAAGAATAAAATTCCAAAACTCGTTCATCGTGGTGGGGGGCAAGGGGAGGAGGGGACCGGCGACGTAACAAACGGCCGAAATTCGCCGATCCCGAAACTCGATCGGAGTTGCTGCCGACGAGAATCGCGATATCATATTTGTTAATGCGAATTGATATGTTTTAAAAAGTATTCTCTTAACGAACGATTAATTCCAATTTGTCTGAAATATTTCATCGATCATCGAACGTTAAAACGATAAAGATTATCGCGAGATCGCGAGCATTTTTTTTTTTTTTTTTTTTTCGCTCTTGAGCACTCGCTTCCTTTCGTCCATATTCCTCAAAGGCATCGCGCGATCTCGATGTTCAATTGATTCGTATATGTCATGTAACAACCGGCGAAACATTATTTCGCCGATAGAAGCGCGTTGAAAATATGTTACGAATTCGACAAAGAAGATTCACGTATACATATATGTAGTATATAAGAAAGTATCGATCGTATCATTCGATCCTCTCCGCTTCACTGATGGCGAATTCGTATTAAACATTATTGATATCGCTTGTATACATGTTCTTTTNTTTTTTTTTTTTTTTTTTTTTTTTTTTCGTGTGTCAACTAATCGTTTCTGCACTACAAAAAGATACACACATAAGTTGCATGGCTACGTTGCTCGTCTACGTACGGTGATCTATCTTGCTTACGTAATAAGAGACCAACAATTTAAAATCGCGGTACGTCGTTGTACCTCCTATCTACGAATATGGATGCAACTTTTCCTCTTTTGCATTTTTCTTTTTTTTCGCTTGCACCCTTCTCTTCGCCGGCGAGACACGCCGCCATCGACGAAAAGTAATCGCGACGAAGGGAAGAATGCATTTTTTTCTTTCTTTTTTCTCTGGATCCGCAAACGTTTCTCGAACGTTTTGCCAAAAAAGCAAAACACGTTGTACAATAAAAAAAGAATACATCGTCAAAACTACGTTTGCGAATATTTTCGACCGGTCTATTTTTCTCCTATTTTATTTTTTTTTTTTTTTCCTCTCCTTTTAATCGGTATATACACATTTTTCAATCCAATCGTTTTGGTCGTGATTTTAAAAACAATGGCGGCGAAACGACCGCGATCGAAAAAATAGTACAGACTAGGAAAGATAGATAATAGAATAGATCGCGCGAAAAATTCGTAAGAAATGGTCCAATAGCCCGATTGCGCGAAAATGTGCACGAGACAGAGACAGAGAGAAAGAGAGAGAGAGAGAGAGAGAGAGAAAGAATCGAACATGATCGAATCTTAAGATGTATCGAGAATTTTGGATTCGAATACCCTTCTTATCGGTATATACCGACGGAATTTTGACAGGAGCAGGGCATCGCCAATTGTTGGGCAACCCTCCTTGGAACCCTCTGGGTCGGTAGGCCCGAAAGGCCCTTCACGTACGTGTAGGCGACCGGGCTGCGAAGTATCCGTTTCGGGCTCTTTTTCGCGTGCTTGTTCTTCTTCTCCTCCCATTTCGCGGATATCTTGAGCGTTTGAAGGGCCTTCCGTAGGACGTCCGTGGTGCTCGATCTCTTCAACGAGTCGGTGCTGCTGTGCGCGTCCGAGGGGGTCGAGGAGTAGGAGAGAGACTCGGACGTCCTCCCGACGCCCCCCCTCACGTCCCCCCTCACGTCCCCCGGGCTCCACGAGCGGGAGGATTTGGCACGAACACGCGCCGAGCTTCTTTGAACCGAGGAGAGCTTCTCCTGGGAGCGGGTCGGCCGGCCACGAAGCCTGTCCAAGTAGCAGTGGGTCCTCGATAATCTCGCGGCGCGGCACAGTCGCTCGCTACTTCCGCGACGCGACAATCTCTCCGCGCTTCCGCTGCTCCCCCCGCTGCTGCACCCGCTATCCGTGCTGTACTCGTCATCCCCGAACTCTTGCTTCGACAATCTTGCTTGGCCGCCGTTCGGGCTCGCTCTCCGTTTCGCCTCCACCTTCTCGTTTTCTCGCCGGCGCTCGTCCTCCGGATCGGTGAGCCTCGTCGTATCCTCCATTCCCGTTATCAACGCCCGATTCGAATCTTTGTTAAACCGTTCGCTCGACAGTTGAATTCGACAATTGTCCTCTTCGCGCGATTCTTTTCTTCGCTTCGCTGCAATTCTTGTTGTTTCTTTTTTTTTTATTAAAAAGCTTTACGAGGAAGAACGCGCTCTCGAATTTTTCGAATCGAACACTTTTTTTTCACACTTTTGGAGTAGTAATTGGAATATATATATATATATAATAGGAGAGGAAAAGAAAACTTGATTCTTTGAGATTCTTCTTGTTTCGATCAACACTTTTGACAATTTTCCTTCTCCTTTCTTCCCTTTTCTTTTATCGGGTTGTTATCGGGTTTGATTACCCTTTGACCTCCCTCGAAGAACGATGGATATACAATATGCTGATGTTATAATCGCAAATACACAGTTGTTAATGCGTTGCTAACTTTTGTGAGCGTGATTTGCACACTCTCGAGGGCGGACTGAGACTTGGAGATTCGCGGTCTTCTCTTATATACTGTCGCGGATTTGCGGAGGGTGCGCGCATGTCCTCTCCACCACGTGAGGGTTCGACTCGGTACATCTGCGATATCGGGATGAACGCGGGACGGAAGCGGTTTCTCGACGATGAACGCCGCCGAACCCCATTCACCAATTACCGCCATTTTATGTATTCATATTTAAAACCAATTATCCATATGTCTCTCGCTATTTTACAATAATAGATATCGATATCTATTATTGATAAATCGGTTATTCGAATATATAAAACTTTTCTTC